TGACAATTTGTTGCAGTCACAATCCGCTTATTTGTTCACTGATCCAAATGTTTCTGGGTTTCTTTTACCCAGTTTTTGATGTGTCCATGGATATAAGATATAAGAAAAGAGGATTTTAATTAATCGAGCCCTCTAACTTTTAATCTATCCCGTGAGTATCAACTTTTCCAAACCCTCTTTCCTCATTATGTGGCACAGAAATTTCAAATATCTCTTCGTGATGTTAAGTATAAGTGTCCTTTTGATTGCTATTGTCTCAAGAACTCACATGTTTGGTCCATGGTATTCTCAACATCCTTCTGTAGAACATTTCTTTTTCTTTGTGATATTCTCTATTAAAATGCTTTTGTATAATCTATAAAATATAGGTATACTTCCCTTTGAATTTCTATTGCTCGTTCTGATATCATTCTGACTATAAATATTACATTCCTTGTTCGAGTGTCTTTAAGGAAATCACACTGTTCATGTCTTATTTCGGTTCTAATTACGCTGTGCGCTTTATTCATCAGAATTCGGAAATCAGTACTATTTAACTTTCGAAGAAAATTCCAAGATTTTCCTTACTGTGCAAAAGAATGCACTGAGAATCCTAACATCAACCTTATATTGATGGAATAGGTAAGATAAAGGGTTAAGAAAGGAAGAAAAAGAGAGAAAAGGAAGCATAGATAAAGAGGAGAAAAGAAAGAGAATGTGATGTGGGGTCTGGCAAGACAAAATACTTAACTGGATAGAGTCAGATGTGATAGTAGTAATGAATACTCAGGTAGAAAAGTCACTGCAATAGTAATATCTTTTCCTACACAATTACCCAGGACTACTTATCATGAATGAATTAGTCCATTCATGATAGTAAGGAGGGTAACTGGTTCTTACCAAAACAATTATAGAAAGCGAAAAGAAGAAGAAGAAGAAGAAGAAGAAGGAGAAGGAGAGAGAGAGAGAGAGAGAGAGAGAGAGAGAGGATATAAAGGAGATAAGGGAAAATAAGGGAGCGGGAGGAAAAGAAAACTGTAAAAATGAACAGAAAAAAAAACAATAATTTTTTATGAGTTTTTAAGTCATTTTTTACATATTGTCTTTTTTTTATTTTAATATTATTTCCTCATCATTGTTTGTATCGTAAAATTTCGGTTGATGTACTCTTCCCTCGCTATCTGCTGTATCAGATAACCTTCCTTCTATCTGACACCTTTATCTTGTAACAAGTAGGTTTGCTAGTATGAGCCAATCTTTCCATCAAACCTTGAGTGGGGGGTAGTCTGCAGCTAATTTCTAATTTCTTGACTGCCACTCGGCAACTGCTCCTTCACCAGTTCTTTTGAGTAAATACTATTTTTTTTAAGACTACGCCATTGTCTTCAGAGAAACAAGAAGGGAAGTTATCTCCCTTATCTTGCCGACACAATTTATCAACCATCGCTGACGGAGTTATTTTCTTCAGTCACTTAAAAACAAAACAAACAAACAAATAAATAAATAAATAAAAATAGAATAAAGATATTTAATTTCATTGACTCCTGGGAAACAGTCTGTGGCTCATTCTGTGAAATCCTATAACTTGCCAGTAACTTCTTCTTTACTTGATTACTGACATTTTTCCCCAGAAAATCTTTATTGCAAATAAATAAATAAATAAAGTTCGTTTTTCTCTTTCTCTTAATTGGCCGTAATGGCATCAGGTTAGCAACTGCAGTTAGCTTTCTGTGTCGATATCACATCAGGTAAGATAGATCGATGACAGATGATGAAGAAGGCTATTTAATCGAAGTTCAAATGGAAGAACGCGGAGAGCCTGCCGGGCAGAATCCTTGGCGTACCTGCTTTCATTTGACCAGCTATTAACAATTAAAAATAAGATGTTAATTAAATAGCACTTGCACGATAATTAATTAAATTAATTTTAATCCGTTGATAAAATTACGAAGCACAGATTAGAGAGGAGTGCAAAAACTATCGATGAATTGGGTTTCGAATTTGTGAGATGAAACCCGGGTTCACCTGAAACTAGTGTTTCTATCGATCCTACGATCCTAACTACTTTGTGTCAGATTTTATTAAGTAAGTCAATGTTTTCACAATAAAATTGGTGTTAACTAACTGACATTGATAAATTTTTAGGATATGTTTATATTAATATGATAAATATACCTTTTGGATTTCAGTTTATCTAGTTTGCTATTAATAGAAATATTTGTAATAAATTATTTGGTGGTACGATTAGGTGAGTTTGGTTAGTAGGTTATTTAAGATTCGGTGAATTTGTCTATGGGTTATTTATTTGGCTATGGGTTATTTATTTGGCTATGGGTTATTTAATGCAGCAATGTAAATAATTTTGTATGTAATTCTATGCTTTCAACTACAGATATTTTGTACATAATTTTATATTTTCAGTGTAAACGTATGTTTTTAGATAAATAGTTTGTAGATCATAAAATGTATCGTCGGTAATTTAAAAAAATGTATTGCTAGTAATTTCAAAACAAAAATGTATTGTTGGAAATTTTACTATAAAAATATATATTTATATTGATTGTCATTTTGCTATAAAAATATATTGTTGATTATTTTACTATAAAAATGTATTGTTTTTTTGGGAGGGGTCACTATTTGCCACTAGCTGAGACCCTAACAGGTGCTAGAAAAAATAACAGGTGAAAAGAAAAAATAACACCAATAGAAAGCGCATAAATTAATTTTTAATGTTTTTAAATTTTTAAAAGTAACGAAAATGAGAAAATCGGTAAACAGTTGGTGATATCTCCTGATGAGTGGACCGATCGATTACGAAAAGGTTCGTCTACGGAATATAACATCAATCAGCTAAGTGAGAAATGTTATATTTGTATTAATGTTATTTATAGCTATACAAAGATTGCCGCGTGTTGTAAGAAAGATATAAACTCAAAAGCGAAACAAGATGTTGTGGCGATATTAAGAAATCACGAAAGAAAGGAAGAGATCTCAGAACAATGAAAAAGCTAAAAACAAAACACACATTGAAAACATTAGCAAGATAAAATAAAGTAAAAACTAACTCACAAAGTCCCGAATAGAGATTATGAAAAGTTAATAGTAAGAAAATTGAATTGACCAGCAAGAAAATATTTGAAAAAGCGCTTGTGAATAGAAGCAAGGAAAAAAAAGATGCAGATTATTAAGAACATTGACAAAAGACATGAAGGCGGCGAAACTGAGATATTTAAACAAACATTACAGCAAGAAAGATATAAGTTGGAATAAGAAATACGCGAAAGAAGGATTTACTCAGTAATGATTTTGTTGTGATGAGATAACCCAACTTCCCCATTCACGATAATGGACGGACTGGTTGCCGATAAAGTACGACCACAGCGAACAGTAAGCAGAAAAGGTCTTCGTTTGTTAACACCTATTGCGGTTAGCTTACTCCTGTCTCTCTCTGTATTTTGACATACCTACATCCGATTATAGAATTATTATTGAAAACCACACTCGGGTTTACTTTGTTTATTATATCTTGCACGAGATATAACAGATTTAATGAGGCCCGGTGGATTAATGGATAGCGGCTGGGGTTAGGGAATCGGGGAGCTGAGTTCGGATTCCTGTCGATTCCATTATATTCGTTACTTACGTGTTAATACATATTAGATTCATACCCTTGGGAAAGGTATGAAGCCTCATTTTCTCTCCCCACCCCCAGCTATGACAGACCGAGTTCTATAGCCTTGGATGGCAACTGGTCTACTGCAGAAAGAAATGGCAACCTACTGCGGGAAAAAAAATTGCCTCGTCAGTCATGTATCAAATCGGAAGATGCATGATCGCCTAAGCGTGTATCACGCATGGCACATAACTGACTGAATTTTAATGATGAATATTAAGTTACATAAGATGAATTGGCTATAGGCTGTATCATTCATGGAAATAGACAACCAATAGGATTGAGGTGGTGTAATGATTTGTTTGTTTTTTTTTTGTTCAACGGCACATCAACTCCTTATGGGTCATTTAAGGCCGAAATTTTCTTTTCTTTTGAACTTTGATAATTTTTTCCCTATAATGTATTGCTGGTAATTATTTTTCTAATATATTTCTAGATTTCCATGTTTTAATCCCATTTTGGGGGTTTACTATTTGGCCATAGCTGGTACTCTAACAGGTGCTACCACCTCGTGTCAGGGTGTGGGGAACTGGGAAACAACAGCAATTAAAACGTTCCAAGCTTCTCAAAACCTCCTGATCAAAGGCCTTGCTGCTGAATGTAGTTTATCGTCAAACAAGTACTCACGACAAAGATGCATTTTTGTTTCAATGCAAACGCATCTCGACAGGTGAGGAACAAAGACGGTTATCCCATATGTATGTATGTATGTATGTATGTATGTATGTATGTATGTATGTACACTAGTGTGCAAAGGTTTTAGAGGTACTCCATAAAATAATTACACGTCTTTATTCTATTAAGAAGTTAAGTTAGTTTAGGAGTATGCTTTTATCAGTAGCGTATGTGGACCTTGAGGATTGGAAAATAAGTTGTTGCATTTTTTGTAGGTATCGTGTAACAGAAGGTACATCGCTTTAAGCAGGCTGAAACTGAAAAAAAGGCCATGCAAAACTAGTGAGCCAATGAAGGATCTGAGATGATAAAAACATGAGAATATGTAAATTTTTAACTAGGAATTATTCCATCTTATTAAGATAAGTTCTTGGCAAGTCATTGTAGTTGAACATTAGCCTGCTTTTTATACTAAAGTTATGGTTAAAATTTCAGTTGAAACAAAGATGAAGAGTGTGACTTTAAAAGAGAAGATGGCTCAATGATAGAGCCAAGAGGCTGGAAATTTCTAGAAAGTGTTCGAACAATCCAAAATCAGATGTTGTATTTTCGTAGGTGCCGTGTAACAAGGTCCAACGCTTTAAACAGCTTGAAGCAGAAAAAAAGATCATGCAAAACTAGTGGTCGTGATAATATGTAAATTTCTAAGTAGAAATAATTCCATCTTATTAATATGAGTGTAAGGTGCTTGGATGTGCGGAGGGTGTAATTGATAACGGCTTTGAATGGGAAAGTTTCAATTCCAGTTAGGTTCATTTTATTTACTTACGCGCAAATACCATTGATAAAGTATGAATCCACCACTTCAACTCTAAGTTATGAGTCAATTAGTATGATTTTTATCAGGAAATTATTATTCCTAAAAATTTCTAACGATTTAAAATATTTTCTGGCTTTAATAACCTGCAAAGGGGTGATAAGCCGTAAAAAACAAATCGAGAGAGAGAGAGAGAGAGAGAGAGAGAGAGAGAGACGCGTTACTTAGAATTTTCCCACTTAAACATTCAAATACCTAGCATTATTTTTTATAGTTTTTATTGCTTCCCATCAACATTTTTGGCTTGAATATTGTTTTCCATTCTCATCCACATGGTGGATAACAATTTTTCTGTTGATTTTGTAACTAGAGACACTGGAGGTATTCCATTAATTTCGCATTTTTTAAAACTACTTTTGGCAAGGTGGGCAATAGTCAGCTTTCTGCTTCGTGAAAGAACGTTATCATGCATAAATATTTTTTTTAGTTTAAAGTTTCTGGGTCTGAACATGTTCGCCTCAAGATATATTGTCCAAGAACTTACAATAATTTTTTAAATTTATCTTGATACCATCATCAACTTCGAAGAGAGCTATAATTTTGCTGCCTTCGATACTAATACAAATCATTACCGTCCTGGGTATGACGATAAAAAAAAATCTTTTACCCATCTCAATGATGGATAAAATATTTTTGCACAAACATTGCTTCATTATTCAGTTTTCAGCTTTCGAATATTTATGATATTTTTAATTAAATTGTATTCCATCGTCAAAGAACAACTTCTGTTTTCAGTGAATTCTTGGAGGGATTATTCAGGATGTTGAAACCGCTGATTTGACAAGGTATGTTGTATGAAGAGAAACAAGTGAGTGTCAGAAGGTCTGAAGGAAAGTTTGCATGTGAAAGAATTTCCTATACCTGTTTGAAGATAGATTACTGCATCACATTTGCAGTATAAGTACAGAGGTTGCCTGGACAGTCGCTCTCTCTTGGGGTTGTTCAGTCAGCAATGAGACGCCACTGAGTGAGCTTGTGTACTCTATAACCGTGCTCTAGTCATTATTTAAACATGCAACCACACCCTTCTGTCAGTCTAGACAACTTCGATTCCCGTTTGCAATAGGTTATGTACGTTCAACATAGGGAACGATTCTTTATCTCTCTTACTTTAGGCGCCTCTCTCTCTCTCTCTCTCTCTCTACCCTGAGTACCCGTAACTCTACATTTCCACCAACAGCTTCTTAATGTGTCCCTTCCGACCATTCCAAATTTATTGGCCACCCTTGAATGTGGTTTTATTATATAAGCTCACGGCCGGAATTCTCTGTTAATTTTCGAACAGGAAATAAATAGTGGATTACCTTGCAAAGAATTATATTTGAACTGTCTGCAACGCCACTATCAAACACAATGACTTAATTATGATATCGTGTACATTTTGAAGATCTTGTCCTTAAGGAATTTAGGCGTGCTTCGGGATTATCACGTTAAACCAACTATCGTCAGAATCCCGAGAATTGATAGATATGTTTTAACGAACTGAAATAGATACATAAATATGTATATTAATAGAGTAGTATAGATATTTATAAAGATATACCTTGTAATTTTTCCAAAATGCTCGCTGATGTAGTGGAGTAACAGCAATTAAAAGAGGAACTATCCTTATTTCTATAGAATATGTAACTTTTGTAACGAATTCGTAACAAAACTTGGTGCTCACGAAATCTGCCTCTTTCCGATAAAGGAACGAATTTAAGGATTCATTAGTTTTCCTTTAGAATCTTCCTCATATTATTTTTATCACCATAATCATCGTCTTCATTTAATATTATATATTATAATAATATATTATATTATATTTCCCATCTCTGCTACCAGACTGGGATAAACTGATTGATTGATTTGTCCGTTTAATGGCATATCAGCGTCTTTATGGGTCATTTTAATGCCAAAATTTAATTTTCTTGGAAGCTTAGAAGTAATAAAAATAGGTTATTCTGCTTTCACAATTGAATACATGGTAGATGATACTCAGCTTTTGTGCATATACATGTTTGTATGGACATAATTAATAGAGGCGGTGATATGTGTATTTTATGTTGTAGTTTTGTTGAAATTATATTTTGGAATACAGTTTGGTTTAAGAAATTGTAGGATATTATATGGACTAATGTCATGAAAGTTCTTTCATGTTGGTTGTTTGGTAGTATTTTAAACGGATTTGGGTGAAGTCCCTACAATTTGTTAGTATCTGAGTACTGTTGGTAATTTTACTATAAATATGTATTGTTGGTAATTTTTTTTATTTAAAAATGCATTGTGGGTATTTTTACTATAAAAATGTATTTTTATACTTTCATAGTGTTTTGTTTTTAATTAGGGGTTAACTATTTGCCCATAGCCGAGACCCTAACAGGTGCTACCATCCCGAGTCTGTGATCAAAAGCAGTTATACCTCCAATCTCCCAAACAGAAACCATGCTGCCGCATGTACTTTATCGTCATACCCAGGACAGAGCAATATCAGCATGCAATTCAAATAGACGAGTGTCTTCTTTAGATAAATGCATAAAACATTACTGTCGCGAGTTCAATTCTCAGCTGGATTCGCATTAAACTTACCTTGCAGTGCAGACAGAGCGCCTGTAATAAAGTAACAAATAAACTGGTTTGATAGGCCATTGTCGGTGAATTTGATCTCCGGTTGTTGCCTTATATTTTTTGCCCAATATTAGCCAGTATCTAAAGCAGATTGTTAATCCTGAGTAGTGAGTTTGATTCTCACAATGTGCTTGTCAATTTTTGGTCGTGTATCAGATAGGATGTGCGCTTAGCGTAACGGTATTTTGGTGTGCCGGGTTCAAATTCTGACCGAGCCTGTTTCGTTCACTTTTCACTGATGCTCGTGAAAAAGTAAGAATCCATTTTCCACTAGCTGAAAGTAAACGGGAATCATTTGTCTTGGATGACAGCAAGTCTGGCAGATGGGAAACTGAATTCAAACCTCTGTAAATAATAGGACAGACTGGGATGTTTAGCCTTGGTAGGGCAACCAATCAAGGGGAAGGATAATTTTGAATTCAAAAATATTTTAAAGTGGGTATTGCTTCATTAGACTATCTTGCCCTAGATACATCCACTGGTGTTATAGCTGCAGTATATGTGGTGCCACTATGATCCTAATGGGTTACAGGACTTATCTTTTGATTGAAACTTGACTACGTTATAATTAGTACATTGCTCATCAGCTGTCACATACGTAGCCTTGTATCAGACTAAGCTAGGATTAATAAATACATGAATCATTGTTGCTAGATAATCGGCGACCATTACTATTTCCTTTGCCTTACAAATTTATCCCTCATTTTTCTTCTTTTCATTCTACTATTGTCTCCTGTTTTTGATTTTTTTTTCTGTTTCTTCTACCAACATCTCTCTCTTTCTTTTCTTCGCTTCTGTCTACCATTCTCTCCCTCTTTTCTTCCTCCTACTATCGTCTCTTTCTGTTTTTTTTCTTTTCCTTTTACAAAATGTCTCTCTCTCTCTCTCTTTTTTCATCTCTTCCTTCTACCATTTTCTCTCTTTTTCCATTCCTTTAGTATTCTCTTTTTTTCTTCGCTTCTTTCTCCCATTCTCTTTTTCTCTTTTCTTTCTTTTTCTTCTACCGTCGTGTTTTTCTCTTTTTTCTTCGCCACTCCCACTATTTTTCTCTTTCTTCCTCTCTTGCTTTTACTATTACTTCTCTTCTTTCCCACCATTATCTCTCTCTATTCCTTCTCTTTCTTTTGCCATTGCGACTCTCGACTATTTTGTTTTTACCATATTCCTATGTATCAATTGAAAAATTTTACCTTATTCCGATGTAACTGAACACTTTTACTTTATTTCTATGCATCAATTGTAAACTTTATGAAAACATTTTTATGTTTTCCGACAATCTGTGAATAGAGTCAGCGAATTTCCAGTTAGAGAACTTAAAAACTATCCAAGGTCTTTTAAATGTATATGGTAATTGCTGTGAGGAAGCTTAAGGGACGCTGTCGAGGCTCATTTACCTTATCAAGGGTTACCGGAAACTGTGCATCTCTGGGCTCAGTTTGCTTGGTAAGTGAGACAGGAAATGATCACGTGACCGCATGTCTTAAAATCTTCTGTGCTAAGAACATGTGAATTCATATTAAATAAAAAAATGTTTGCTAATCAAAAAAAAAAAAAATAAAAAAAAAAGGAAAAAGAAAAAGAATCTACCTTCATGCCAAGGTATATAAATAGTGTTTCGACCGATACGTTCTTTTTCGTTCCTAATTTCAGTTAAAAAAAAGAAGAGTTTATTTTATACTCATGTCAGTTTATAAGAAATTATTTTTTAATTTTATTCAAGTTTTTTTTTTAATTTTCATCTATATGTTTTTTGTAGATTTGTTTTGTTAAAGAGCATATATAAAAGTCCTGTAGGCCCTCCTGTGCAGTATAGAGCCACAGCCGCACCACGGTGCTGCGGTGGTTTCAGTAGTAAGTATGTTTTCGTAGGCTGGAGTCACTTGCTTCACGCCCAACCGTTTTCCTTCGAGACTGTAACAGAATGCGTGGGCTGGACCCAAATGGTAAACTACTTGTCAGAACTCTGAAGACCCGAATTGAAACATGGAATTTTGACAGTGATGGTTTGTTTATTTTCACATTGTAATATAAGACCCAAAAACAAAAATCGCATGAAAACGATCAGAAGGGGTGCATCAAAGAAGGGTCAGCATGTTTCGCCACACCCAGATTCCTTAGTGAGTCAAGCCATCACGTATTGAGGAGTAGTCGGCTAACTGGTTGACATTCATCCTCTCTATCCTTCTCTTCTTATCACTTCATACAAGAAACTATGCAACTACAACTGTCCCACATGAAAAAGAAGGCAAAAATCTGAGAAAAATTGTCCGTTGATTCGGTCTGTGATGTACCTTTGTGTGGGGGTCTAAAGAATTGAAGCTAGAAACGACACGAAACACAATACCGGGGTAAAAAGAGATGGATGCATATTTTTCTCAATGGTATTTGTGCGAAAGTGAATGCAATAGCCACACTAATCCTACTTTCTACGCTAATAGCGGTTACGCTACACACACATCTCTTGGTAAAAATGCGGAAGAATATATCGGCTTAAACAGATAGGAAATTAAATAATCCACAAAATAATGAAATTATTTAATTTCAAAATGTCAAAAAATATAAAGAAGGCCAAAGATCGCATTGTCAAAAATCACAATGACTAAAATAGTAAATATTGGGATACCAGTTTGAACAACTCGTAGAATAATGAAATTACATCTCGAAAATCAACCAATGATAAAAAGGTCAGCAAATTCAGAGAGAAGTTGGAAAATCAGAAAGTGCAGTATCAAAAACGTAATGATCAAAAACATATTTTATGTGCCGTATCTTTTCAGAATGTGGATAGTCATGGTCCTCCACAACTTCCTACCTTTCATAGTTCTAAGCAATATTTGTACCCTTACATTCTCTACTAGTGAACCATTTACACAAGCTTGTTAAATAAGTTGCCGACATATTCAGATACCAATTTGAATAATTCCTGCATATCAGAAATTAAGATAATTTTAGAAAATCCAGACAATGCAGAGAGAGAAGTCCGGTGATTATAACAACGCGAGGAATGGTTGTCTTCTTAATGGGGTTCAATACTTTGAACGTCAACTGGGTCTCAACTCATACTTCTATATACAATCGGTTGCTAAAGATGCTAGGAAAATGGTCGGCTCATTCTATCACTCCAGAAAGTAGCTGACTCCTCCTGGTATGGTTTACCTTTACAAGAGTCAGGTTAGACCAAAAAGCAAGCTACTCAATCGTCATTTTCCAGGCTTCATAGAATTCAAAATGCTTTACGCGATCTTGTGGGTGATGACTTATTTTCCACTCTACAATCTCTTTCCGCGCAGTCATAACCTTGTAAGTCTCTCTTTATTCTATAGCTGTTCTTATGGCAAAAGTTCAGATGAGTTTCATTCTCTAGTTTTCCTCTGTTCTGTGAGTACATGTCATTCTACCTACACGGAATCGAATCACACTCATTTCTTCGTGTTCCAAATGTAAGAAAGAAGTTCCATTCAAACAGCTTTTTTCCCAAGAACTGCTACTTCATGGAACAAGCTCCCACGTGGGTGCTTCCCTAAATCTTTAATCTTGACCTCTTCAAATCAAGGATCAATCTTTATCCATCTTCTTTGTCCTCAATCTTCCCGGTTTTCGTTTGATCACTGAAAAGCAGCGTCGAGCCTGTTCAGTACTTAGATGGGGGAGCGTTTGGGAACACCGATTACTGTAAGTAACCTCCTACACTGCGAAATAGGTTTCAGTTTTAAATAACCCAAAATGTGTTGATAAGTCGTAAAAAAACAACCAGCCAACCTCATAATTTTCACTTCCTACCATCTTCCAGTCATATATTTTATTGCGAATCTGAACTTACTTTCTTCTCTTTCAACAACATCATTCAGAAATTCTCTACCCGGAGTGGCTCTTGGGTTTTTTATTAGGTGAAAATTTAGTAAAAGAGTATATAACACCTCATTCATCATTACCATTTCAACTGTAACCCTCTACATTGAGTGGCACACGAGTTTTGTATTGGGTGAAATTTATTATTAAAAAGATGCATGTTCGAGTAATTAGTGAAGAATAACAATACTTGTTTAAAAAATATTGGGACTATATTTAAAATTATAATATCTTTTTTTTAATATAAAGAATTTATTTTTCCATGCGACAAAAAAAAGTATGGAAGATGAAGACGTTAATACGGGAGAATCTAAAGTAACAATATCTTATCACCCATGTAAGCTTGTCGGAGATCAAATCGCACATGATACTGTCACTAAAAGATGAACATAGTCTTTCAAAAGAAGTTAACTTAAAAAAAGGAAACGAATGCGGGGGAAAATGACAGACGGAGATGTATCTATTTGTCGAAGAAGAGCGAGTGTATCAATGATATCGTCTGTCAAATATGCCGACACAATACTTTGGAGATGAACAGATTCGATGTATTGCTATTAATAAAACTCGTAAAAGAATATTAATCCTAAGAAGCCGGAGAATATCAAAGATACCTGTACTAAAAAAATAAAATAAATAAATAAATCTCGCTTGTTTTCTCTAAAATATTCTTAGACTACAAATACAATAAGAAAATACAACCAAATTCTCTGTCGTTATTTCTCCTAACTTCTTAAAATGAAAGGTTACGCACGACAATATGGCGTCTCCTACCTTTTTTTTTAACGTAACTTTATTTCTATTGATAAAAAGCAACGTCCAGTCACAAGGAGAAAGTCAGTGAATTGCCCAGTCGCCATTCATATACACTGAGTTAATCCAAGCTTTTCTTGTCAAATTCTTTTCAACGGATCTCTGCGCCGTTATAACAACACGGACCTTTATCTGTTAAGCTAGAGCAGCCATCTTGGGATGGACTTTTTTTTTCTCAGTTTCTTTCATGTTCATCATTTCAGGAAAATAAGATGCCGTTCTTTGATTCCGGTGAAAATGGAAAAGGTCGGAACGACTCATTTCGTTAGAGAAAGAAGGAAGTAGAATAACTTCCCTTGCAGGGAATTCTTTCTTTCTTTCTTTCTTTCTTTCTTTCTTTCTTTCTTTCTTTCTTTCTTTGTCGGTTTCTCTCTAACTTTATTCTGTTCATATTGTGGGAGTGAGAGAAAATCTATGATAGATATGAAGTGAATCATATATAAATAAACGCTAAGCAGAAGATGCAAGCAGACAAGTAAGTACCTAGATAAGATTAGATCGAGAAATATATGAATAGACTGAGATAGATTAATAGATAGATAGAGAACTATATATGAATAGACAGAGATAGATAGATATGAATAGACAGTGAAAGAAAGAATGAAAATATATATGATGGGTTAGTGGTAGAAAGAAAGCGAGATAGATAATGAATACACTGTGATAGAAAGAGAAAGAAAATAAATATGAATAAACTAAGAAAGAAAGAAAAGAAAGAAAGGAGAAAGAAATAAAGAAAGAAAGAAAGGAAAAGTAAGTAAGAAAGAAAGAAAGAAAAAAGAAAGAAAAACGAAATAAAGGAAAAAGAAAGAAAGGAAGAAAGAAAGGAAGGAAAAAGAAAGAAAGGAAAAGTAAGAAAGGAAAGAAAAGAAAAAAGAAAGAAAAGAAAAAGAAAGAAAAGGAAAAAGAAAGAAAAGAAAAAGAAAGAAAGGAAAAAGAAAGAAAGGTAATCTATAGATAGATATAGAGACTGATTTAGAATGAAATATAAACACAATGTGGTCCATAGATATTAGCAAAAGTAGATAAACAGACAGACAGATAGATATATTGATAGATAGATGTATAGATAGATGGATAGATATGGACAGATGGGAAAAATATATAGATATGAATAGACTCTTACAGAAAAAATGTAGATAATCAGCTAGATATATAGACGAGAATCGAATATATATATATATATATATATATATATATATATATATATATATATATATATATATATAATTGTTTTTGAACGAAATCTTTCTCTTTTCAATCTCCATTCTCTGACTTTGTTTCTGACCTTCTTGCTTTGTATGAATGTGTCTACGATTGGGCCTGTGTCTGTCAAAGTTTACCTCACGCCATTCATTGCCACGACTTCTCTGTCCAGAAATATTTTTTGCATCTTTACTTTCTGTTCCTCGTAAAATAATTACCTTCTCATCATTCACATTTTCACAGAGATCAAATCGTTGCAAAACCTACTGTCTAAAAACCACTGACTCTGGTCTCTGCATGTTGTAGTTAATAATGAAAAAGGAAGACACGAAATAGGTTCCTCAAAGAAGGTAAAATGTTCTTTATTTCCTGAGGGAATAATTTCTAGACGTGTGAAATGTCTGCCAAGATACGGGAAATGTTGCATAATTTAACAGATGAAAATACTTTTTTTAATCATTTCACCCCAAGCAAGGCGATAATACCACTAAGACGCAAGTGATTACTGGGAGTGTAAAAAATGAGAATACTTTAGCGAGGAGAAAGGACAATAAAAGAACGGGTTTCAGCAGCGTCGATTCTTGAATTCTGAAAGTTGGGGGCACTTGGAGGCCAACATTTTACTGCGAAAGAGGGGGGAAAATTCAAGCTGCGTCTTTATTTTCATACTACACCACTATCGTATACACAACTTAGAAATGAGTTTTAGTATAAGTATGTTACTTCACTAAATTAAACGGAATAACGTTTCATTCATAGTAGTGGAGTTCTAATCTATTCTTGCCCTCTTTTCCACTCTCGAGCTGTTGGACTACAAGAGAGGTTAACTTCAAAACAAAATCAAAGGGTTAATATTAATGTCAGTACTAGCAGAACAGTGTAATTTGTCTGCTCTGATTTTTTTCCCCTACAAGGCTTAGAAAAATGGGGAGTGGGGCAACCGAGGGGCTAGTCAAAATTCTGAGGTGGGGGGCATGGTCCTTTCTGGTCCCCCCCCACACTGTAGAATCGCCACTGGGTTTCGGGAAGAAACAAGATGGCGGTTGGCGTTGCATTTAAATTTTTGGAGATTGTAGGCGGGAGGAAAGGAAGAAATCGCAAGAGCGTTCTCCAGGCAATAAGTGCAAGAAAGGAAACTATTACAATATAACATACGGTTGCATTTAGCTAGTTCAACGGGAAAACGCTGAGATTTAATTGCCAAGGTAGTTGTCCGCTTAAATTAATGTCGTCGGGGCACCAGCGAAAAAAAGCTCGTTCGTTGCCATGAAAATATTTGTAGAAAAAAAACAGGAAAAGCACGTCGAGATACCAGGTCAGGATTAATTACATTACAAAACCTGTATAGTTACCTAGTTGGGAACTGATAGCATCATGAAGATTGTTGATGAAGATCAGATTAATCAGTTTCTTTAGATTCTTATCTGAATCAATTCCACGTACGGGTGACTGATACTTCCATTTTTTCATTAGATCAAAAATGTAGAATAGTTTGGTGTATTTAAAAAAATTTAGCTGTTGCCTAAATCACACTTAGCGGTGTTGCTTCTCTCTCTCTCTTTCTCTATCTCTCTCTCTCTCTCTCTCTCTCACACACGCGCGCGCGCACGAACACACACACACACACACACACACACACACTCACCCCCCCACATATATTTATATATGTATTATAAGTTGTTACATACAACTAATAATAAATAACTATTACTCTACTCTTGGTATTGAGCCCTCTTTTAAATTATTGTTAAGAACGTTTGAATTTATATTCTCTTCGTTCTCATTACATTTGTATATATATATATATATATATATATATATATATATATATATATATATATATATATATATATATATTCATGAATTATTCACACAAAAAAAACAAATGCAAAGGTTAATGATTTAATTGGCGAGAAATCCATCGTCGCAAACAATTCAAATAATATACAAAACCTCCGAATCCGTTATGAATGAAATGATCCTTGTTTCTATAAATTTCTGCCGTATTAGTTCTTATTTTTACTACAAGCTTTCGTCTGTTCCTACAGACATCTTCAGGTATGGAATAGATGTTGTTCTTGTTTATAAGTAATAAGAAGACAACGAAAATATATGTATTGTTGTATCCGAAAATGCTATTGGAAATGAGTTATTGTTTTTGGAGCGCGCAGTAGCAACGCTGAGTTTGATTTTAAATTTTTTACAGTTGTGCGTTCATGTACAAATATGGTGATATACGAATTTTTTACTGGTAAATTTTCTGTCAAAGAATATATATATATATATATATATATATATGTGTGTGTGTGTGTGCAGATATATAGAAAAATAGGAAAGAACACGTTAGGTAAATAATCTGGAGTTCTTTAGTATTTTTGTTCTTATTTAAAAAAAAAAAAACAGTGCTCCTTACAGAAGTAGCGCTTAAATTATAATTATTTTTAAAAAAATATGATTCCTTCGCTACATAAGAGTTCTCATGTTTCAAAAAAGAGAGCTGAAAACTTCAATATAATTATTAAAATTAAATTGAATTAAAGTATCAAGCTCTGTTTCACCCTTAAGTGAAAATGCGTAAATTTCAAGATTGGTTATTCCTAAATTTTCGCTTGATACTTTAATTAAATTTAATTTTAATAATTATATTGAGGTTTTCGGCTCTTTTTTTGAAACATGATAACTCTTATGTAGCGAAGGAATCATATTTTTTTTAAAATAATAATTATATATACATACATATATATATATATATATATATATATATATATATATATAACTGGACATTCTATGTATTTAGGCAGAAAATCTTCTTTAAGGCAAATATTATTAAAAAGAACTGATGTTTTGAGTCGATTAATTTTATTGCTTGACTTTTATAAAGTTTTCTTCTTAGAGAAGCAAGAAATTCCGTAAGAAATTTCGAACTTCATTTCGGAAGAAAAATACAACGAATATAATCTAAGCTTTCGACATTGTTTTGCACGCACACACACACACACACACACACACACACACACACACACACACACACACACACACACACACACACACACACACACACACAGAGGCGCGCGCACAGACACACACACACACACACATAGACATGATTAAATAACGAATAAGAAAACATCATTATAAATTGAACACGTTTGTCTATTTAGGTCCTTCAGAGATTTTTGTAAGTGCGATAATGTTTGAATTTTGTAAAATTTTCAGTTAACAGTAAATAAATATCGAAAGATATTAAATTTGTAAATTTTCGTGTTCTATTTTAAAATGCTGTCAAATCATGCACACACAAACACACACATATATATATATATATATATATATATATATATATATATATATATATATAGTAAGTAATCCAAGTAGATTCTATTAAATACAAAATATTAAAACGGATCCAAAAAAGAGAGCTCAATACAATTTTTATTATAGAACATATAAGTGAATTACAATTAATGAGATCCAAACAATTTACCCCATACAGATGATCATTTCGTCCATGGGAAAGAAGTTTTTCTTCGACTTATCAATACAAATATATTTAATAAAATGAATAAAATCATTGGAAATTTGAAAAGCAAAGGAAGTTAAGAAGGAAAAAAGAAAAAATGAAAGGATAAAAGGAGAGGGAATAAGAGTTGGCCTTTAATAGAGGAGGGAGTTATATAGATATAGAGGGATAAGGGACATATATATATATATATATATATATATATATATATATATATATTAGACAAGTTTTGTTGAACAATACCAACAAACTCTGTCTGCCCAGTTTTTATAGTTTCTCGTCTTCCAAGTATTTTTATACAATTAGTAAACTTTTCAAAGTTCATTTTTGCTTTTTTTATTTCTTTTTTCTCATCCATTTTCTTTCAACTCTTATTGCAGTCGTTATCAAAAATTGCGTTTTTATGTCTATTTATAAACTGTTTAGCTAAATCCAGTGTTCTCTCGTTTGCTGGAATTAATTTTAATTAAAGGTGACGTCATTTACAGAGGTCAAAATTAACTTTTACGTGATTTATTTAATATTTATATATATGTAGGCTCTAAGTTTAGTAAATTACTACACGCGTATTGTCTTTCGCTAATATCCTGAGTTCAATGCTCACTTTATTTTCCACTGCTGAAACCTTGTACCAGACTTAATCTCTATCG